ATAATATATTATTTTATATTTTTATTAGATAATTATCTTTTTTATTTTAATTATTATTATCATTTATAAAGTTAACTATGATTTCTAAAATACTTTTCAAACTGATATATAAATAAAGCTTCTTTAGTTTATTGATTAATATTTTTATCATATATTCAGCTTCCCAACTATTCTGAATAATATAACCTTTCATTAGTGAATTAAATAATAGTTGAATCTTTCAGATAAGCTTTTACTATCTGAATTTTTCTTTTATTACTAATATTATTAATAATATAAACATTTTCAAAGTCTTGAAATTAACTAATTAGATCATAAGTATCATTATAAAATTCTATAATTTTGATATAGTTAACTTTCTTTGATCTTCCTAGAACTATAGCAAGTGCTCTAATTTTATTTATTAAGTTTTCAAATTTGTGAACAGTAGTTAATGAAGATAATATTTTATTCTTCTTATCTTTATTTATTTCTTCTTCTTCTTTAAATAATGTTGAGAAAATAATAATAAATATATCTTGAATAACTGACTATATTTTTAAATATTTATTAAGTAATAATTATATTAATATTTATTCAAGAATGTCTAAATTATATTTTTCAAACTGTTATAAGATATTTAGTAGTTCTTTATTTAATTTTGATTAAATTGGATTAAGTACTTTTATAAGTAAGTTTTATTACTTTTTTTGTTCTTGTTTTATTAAATATTTGTTTCTTTTATTCTTAAACTCAAATATCTCTTGTTATAATTGATAAAGATAAGTTTATACTTATTTTATTAATAGATTAGTTTCATCTTCAATTAAAATTACAAATTCTTTTCTTATTTTGATTTGAGTTTTACTATATATTACTTTTTGATGAAAATACAAGAATTTTTCTTAGATAACTTAATAATCAGAATCAGTATAATCTTCAAAATATAATTTAGTAAATAATTATATAAAGAGTCTTTCTCTTTCTATTTTGATTTCTTTAGTTGAATTTATTTTGATATGTTGTAATATTATTTCTTTAGTTGTTTTAATTCTTTATTAATTTTAATTTAATCTATAAAGAATTCTTTATTTAAATCTAAATTAAATTAAATAATCATTTTAAAATTATTTTCTATAGAGATAGTATCAAAAAGTTATTATCTTTTTGATGTGAATATTAATATGAGAGATGAGTATTAATTCTAATATATCAAAAGTATGTAATAAAAGTAATTACATACTTTATATTAATATTAAGAGAGTCTTTAAAAGTTTATTAACAAGAATACAAATATTATTATCTTAAGATTTATTAAGATTTATTTAAAGATAGATAACAATAATATTCTTAGTATGACTAATTAAAATATAATCTAATTCTAAAATATAATTTCAAGATAAATATAATATTTAGTTTATTGATAAGACAAAATAATAGATCTTAATCAGATCTATTTTACAAGAGATATTCTTTAGAATTCTCTTTAAACTAAAATCTACTTAAAATATAAGTTAAGAACAAAACTTATAAAATTCAAACTAAATTAATTAATTAACTAGCTGAACTATACTGAACTACTAACTAACTATCTAATTTCACTAGCTAAGATACATCACTTTTATATATTTTAGAGATTATATGAATAATACTTTTATTATAATACTTATGTTAATTTTGTTATAATCTAAATATCACTTTAGCTAATATTATAATATTAGTTTTGTTATGATAGCATTGTTAGTTTTGCTATAATAGTTTTATCATGATCATTATATTTGTGAAATCTTCTAAAAATATTTACAAATAATATTAATATCTAATAAGATATAAATAATTATTTATCTAATCATATTATAATATAAAGTGATTAATAATATATAACTAATTAATATTCTACTAAAAGTTCATATCATAATAATATAAATTATTATTAATTAAGACTAGAATTTTTAAGCTTATTTTGTTGTGCTTGACCAGTAGTATTATTATATTTACCATTAAGCATATTATTATTCTTATAAAAATTAGCTTTTCTTATTTACTTAGTAATAAATTTGCAAACTTTTATTATATAAATATATAATTAATTTAATATTTAAAAAAATTTTAATTTTAATAAAGATAAGATTAAAGATTTTTTTATTAAATAAAATTTTCATATCATATAAAAGTCTTTAGATAATCATCATTCAAAATTAAATTGGTATAACTCACTCAATTTTGATCCAAACTAAACCAAATAAAAAGAGATAAGATATTTAGTACTACAAAGGTTAATTTTACTTTCTTTTTTTGCAAAATTTTGTTGATATATTTTCTAAAAAGAGCAAATGAAAATGCTAATGACCAAGAAAAATACTCATGTCCAAACTATTGTGCATTTCTGGCTTCAGGGCAAAAATGCAGGTGAAATATATCATCTAATAAATATTGTGAGATTGACTATTTACCAAAATTAAAGAAAATCCAAAGTACAATTCACAAAAAATGCAGCAGTCATCTCATAAAAATCACCTCTGAATACTCAAGATTCATTAGACAGATTGTTTGAAGAAATCCTATGATATCTTTAAGAATATTAATCACAAAGTTATTCAAAAAAGGTATCCGGGTATCTTATAATATACTTTTAAGATATTTAGCCAAACATGGCTTTGACAAAAATCTTCCTATGATGACACCAATACTCATGATGACATATAAGAAAAAGCAGATAGAATAGATGCAAAATCATCTCAATGACAATTGGAATCAGATAGTATTTTCTGATGAAACAAGTTTTTGACTATTCAAAAATACTGTACAAGTTTGGTACAAGAGTGAATGGCTAGTTCATTACATCTCAAAAGACTGAACAAAAATTGAGTTTTATATAAAAGGTAAAATGAGTCTTTTTTGCTTCCAAGAAGATATGACTGGTCTTTTTTACATCAATATCCTAAAGAAATATGTTCCTGAGATCAGAAACATGTTAAGAAACAATTGGCAGTTCCAATAAGATAATGATCCAAAGCATACAAGTAGTATGACGAAAGAATATCTTCAAAATAACTTTTCAAGAGTAATTGATTGGCTATCCAACAGTCCTGACCTAAATCCCATTGAAAACTTATGGAGTATTGTTAAGAGAAATGTAGAGATATGATAACCAAGAAATATTTCACAATTGGAGCAATTTATGAAGAAGGAGTGGGCAGAGATTTTCCAACGTCTTATCAATAATTTAGTGAGATCAATAAAAGAGCGTTGTAAACTTATTATTGAGAACAATGGCGAACGTATTCCTTATTAATTTTTTTTAAAATCATCTCGTGCTCTTTAGCTTTCAAATGAATCATTAAACGCGTAATTTGGATCAGCCATTGTGGCGCAATGGTCCAATGATTTTGTCCAAAGACTTTTGCAACACACTGTATATTAGCCAATCAGATTTTAATAATGCTCTACAAAAATTAGCCAATAACAATAAAAACTTGTCATGCTAGCCAATCATATTTCACGGAAATCATTAATGTCGCTATGCTCACTCGGTTTTAAAAAGAAGCCCGGTTTTCAGAGGTAATGTTATCTATTTAGTTAAATTATATACCATCGTACCAGGTATTAATTCAAAAGAAAATAAAAATATGACCTGTCCGATTTGATAAAGATATTAAATTTCTTGGCTTATCTTTATTTTATTTACAGAAATTGAGCGAACAACAATGGGAAGATAAAATCGAAAACTTAATGGAAGCTAACTGAAGTTAACTCAGAGCAAAATAAATTTATAGTAAAGTTAAAAAAATTACTAGCAGAAGTGAATCAAGAATGGAGGTTTTTAAAATTTAAAAATTATTGTCGATTACGGATGAATCAAGAACGTGAATCAAGGATGGGAATTTTCTCCAGTCAAAAAAAGAAACTCCGCAAGGATAAAATGTGTAAAATTATTACATGATAGATGTGGCCGGATGGTAAGCTATTTTTTATTTATGTTGTATCTGCATCTCACAACATACTCATCGATTATTATGATACTTTTATAGAAGTCGTTAAATGATCTAATATTATGGAAAAATAAATTTGAGGCTTCAGAATCATCCGGAGATGCACGATTAATTGTTGGAATTATCTGTTTACCACTAATTAATACATCATTAGCCTTTCACATAGCTTTAATATCACTTTTGTTTCTCGAGGCATTGAGTCTAAAACCTCCTCAAAAACTAACACATCGAATTTTGATCATGCTTGCTATAGAGTAGCCTTGAGCTTTTTCACGATCCTTCGGAAGCTTTTACACTTTTGAATATGAATTTTTGTAAGTATAAGGTTCGATCAAAATGGAAGAATCATTGGTTTTCGTTTTGCAAATACTGCGTGGATTCTATTTAACCATCGTTGTTTACGAAGAGAGGTTACGAGAGCGCGATCATATTTTTAGTCCAATTCTCGGTTTCTTGTTTGAAGAATATGATATAGGTACTTTGAACTTAACTGGTAAGTGATGATGGATTTTTACATTGTAATAAATCTTAAACAGCTTGCTACATGTAATATCTAACCTTAAATGGTATAACCGATTTTGTCTAGGATTATAAAAGATTCTTGTGTTACTTGTCGAAACGAAAATCTGTACATGGCGAATATGTAACAATAAATTCACCAACAAAAAAGATGGATTTGATTATATCATTGCGAAGTAATCAAATTGAGCTACTACAACTTGAAGTGGGAAATACTGAAGGTCCTATAGATATACAAAATTTCGAGAGGACTATTCAAAGATCAAAGTGGTTATGAAAGATTGTTTAGATACATTTTGGAGTAAATTACACTTTAGAAAAGATGAACTTGAAGGAATCTTCATCATGGGCGTTCAAAAAATAACGGGTGTGTAAAACGACATCTTAAGCTATTTATTCAGTGTTATTTAGGTTTTTCCGCCTAAAATTTTTCTCATGTTGTATAGGCGCAAAATGGACTATCTACTCTCTTACTTATGATAGTTCAAAAAATTTTTATTCTTCGCTGAAATGGCGACATTGATATTACCGACAACATTATCTGATATGGAAGACCTTTTACCGGGTTTTTTGGAGAGATCTCCTGGCATTACGGATATGTGTGGTTATATGCGATATTTTTTTCCGTCAAATCATTGGTGTTACATATCTTTATGTTTCTTATATACACAAATAGAGTCGGCAGCGGAAATTCGGCGAATTGCCCAAAAAAAATTTAACACACCATCTCCACCCTCATCTCCGTTGCACGATACAACACTCCTATGAAAAAACAAAAGCAAGTTCCTTTTCATATCTTAGACAATTTATATTGAATAGCAGATAGTTTTGATCATTAATACTCTGCATGTAGTAATAAATAAATTAGCGTTAGCATTTATTCGAAGTTGTTTAACAGCTCATTGCTGTTATTATTCCCTTTACTAAAATAATGTGTCAATTATTTTTTCACATTCACAATCTTAATTAATGATACTCAACTCTTGAAGATGCTTTGAATGTGAATCTTCACAATACCAAACATATCTTAGGAAATCCAATTCTCTGCATAATTTTTTTAAAAAAACTTGATGTTTTCATAATGTTTTATATTTGAACATCATGTATTCTATAAATATTTATTATTAGCAAATCTGAATATATTCTTTAGAAGGATATTTATTTTTATTATATAATTTATTTAACAAACTTCTTTATAATATGTACAAAAACTCAAGCATTCCATTCTTTTTGGTTGCCACTAAATATTTATTAATTATCAAAAATGATTTTTTACATCCAAATGCATCTTTTTATCAAAATTCAATATTTCCATCAAAATAAAAATTTATTTTATATTATTAAGATTTGTTCGTTTGAAATAAAACAAAAGAGAATTTGCTAGTCATGATGTTACCTACGATCAATATATTATTAAATTATATAGTATACATAGTGTGGACAAAGAATAAATAAATATACAAAATATACAATAATATCAATAAGAGAGCTTGTTTCACCCAATGTATTACCAAACACGCACATTCGCACATTATGTATGTTCCACCTATCAAAGATTATCCTATCCCAGACTTCAATCCGTATATTTTAAAGTAATAAATAAATTAAATTAAATCAAATCACAGTAAGTCACCAAACTCATCCCCTCCATAAAGAACATGAGTCATTTCATGCGGCGAAGGTTGCGAATTAACCACCACAACTTCATTTTTGTTATTGAGATTACTGTTACTACTATTAAATAACACCAACTCATCATCATCATTGTCGTCTCGTAAAAGATCAAGATCGGAACGATTGAATATCTCTTCGGTAGGTGTCCAAATGTATTCGGGGGGTGTTCGAATGACAGTCTCAGTTTGTACTAATGAAACGGCAATTGATTTTTCTACTGTGTGTACAGTGTCCATCGTTTTCTTTCGCACGTTTTTGAGACTATTGAATTAGCTTATTGAATTAATCTGCACGTGTGTAATCAATAATTGGAAACTAATAATTAAAAATATCTTACGTGTCTGATCTTGCTAATGCCGAGATACTTTTACTAAGATTACCCCAAGCACCAGTACGAAAACTTAACTTTCGTTTTGTTTTCTTCGCGCTGTCACATAACAAATTTTCAATTAATCAATTATTTGGATAGTTAAATTCAATCATGATTTGCTTACTTTTCATTATCTATTTTTATATTGATGAAATTATCTGGATTTCTGAACAATATGAAATGTGAAAGATTAACTGATAAGTGTATAACTCAATTGAATACATATAATCAAAAGAATCACACTTACGCATTAACATCATCAACACCGTCGTTCTCAATACTTATCAATACATTACCATTTCCTTTATTAGCGCCACCACTGCTTCCACCTCCCCTTAACCACCCATTTCCATTATTCTTCTTACTCGATCGTTTTGCAGCGGCATCATCTTCAGAAATAGCAGAAGTGGCAGATCCGGCAGACGAAACGGAAGATAAACTTGCCGTATCATTATTATAATCATTCTTTTTTTTATTTTTATTGCGATTACTTTTATGATTTTCTTTCTCTTGTTCTTTTTTCTTTCGAACAATGCTCTCCCATCGTTCTTTCAATAAGCGTAATTCTTCTTCATGTTGTGCTAATTCCTCTTGAAGATCCTTGATTTTTCGTTCTTTTTTCGCGATAAATTGTAACAGTTCTGCTTGTTGCTCGGATTCGGTGGCTGGTGTTATGCGTAAATGCTTTATTGCTATTTCGGTGTGTATCTGGAAGCGGGTTAGAGTTAGGCATATTAATATCATCGCATACATACGGGTTCTTTTTAAACATTCTTTATTTGCAAACAATACTTTTCCACTAGACACTTCTCACTAAAAGATTTTTTTTTACACAAACCTTTAACAAATCCTCAGTATCAACATCAGCGACAGAAGAACTGTCACATTTCTTTGTTGCTTCTAATTTTGCATTACCAACGGTAACGACACTTTCTTTATTATTGTTGTCACTAGTAGTAGTATTATCGGTGGTATTATTATTATCCACGCTCATTTTTCGGGGTGTATTTTCTATTAAAAAATCAACTGATAAAAATTTAGCTCTAAATCTATATCTGCTAACCGAATTTAGAATTTTTTGTGGCATATGGTATGTCTGTACTTGTGCTCAAAACACATTGCATTGTTACTTGATATATAAAATTTTCACGATGTTTCCACAAAGAACAACACTAAATCGTGGCATTTGCATAATACACTTAACCAAGAAATTACTGTGGCTCATCACATCATGAGACTAGAATTTAGTGAAACAAAAGAATACTTTTGTGCATCTATAATAGTTTCCATTCACGGGATGGGATTGTAATACATCGCATGTATGCATGGATGAATGGAAGGCCATTTTGTTTATGCTCGAAAGAAGTGCAATTTTCTTCTCTATCCACAATTATACATTTTAGACCCATCAATCCTTTGAATATTACCGCACAATTACAAGTCTTTGACATATAAGCATCATTTTGAATATAATATGAACTCCCAATTCTTCGCTTTGCTAATTAGATGTCGACGAAAGCGGTAATTACCCTGCAAAGTATTTTTCGAAAGTTTTTCGTGTAATTTTCCGCATCTTACGTTTCACCATATCTGAAACTTCAAAAGTTGGAATAATAATAATACTAAATTCACGAGTAAAAAAATGGACCGATTTTCGATAAATTTCAATTTGCAAATGTAATATTTTACGTCGCATTCGAAAAATAATATCAGTCTTTCGCTTCTTGCATTTTCAAGTTTGATGCGACCAATTGATCTTTTTTTGAAGATTGTCCATATATTTGCATAATCGAATGATTCATCCAATATCATTTTCACCAATTTTACCAACACCTTTAGCTGGTGAATACCATGTAAAAGTCGTTCGAATGCCAAGATCAATAGAGATTGCATTGATGGCGCCATCTGCTTGGTTTCGCGGACTTGTATCTCATATACTCAGAAATTCATTAATTAAGCGTGAGGAAGAGGCCATTTATTAGTTTTGCGCTTTTTTTAAAGCGAAGAGGCCAGAACATATTTTTATCTTATACACAAACACTTAATTAATTAAATAAAAGAATTGATTCCAAATCCTTTAAATTAAATAATCCTACCCTTATGACGATGTATAACTATATTCTGATTGAGTGTGTAAGTACGAGGTATAAAAACGATTCCAGATAGGTTTCGAAAAGTTTTGTGTACAAAAAATGATAAATCTTTCCGAGCTCGAGATGAAGGGATTTGCATCTTTAAGTCGAGTTGATTTGAATTACGCTTAATGACTTTGCCTCTGGCAATTAATACCTTATCAATAATATTAGCAGGTGCTATTGCGTGTGCTCCGAATAACATATCAAGACGAACAGCAACTCGTTTGCCTTTTTGGCTTCCTATCTATCCGAGTCTTTACCAGCCCGGACTTCTGCAAAAAATTCAAGTTTGTCTTTAAGAGATTTTAATCTAACCTCGTTTTTTCAAACCAGTAAGACAGTCTTGGTATAAAACAACGGCATTTATTCCAGCGGACAACAGTATTCTAAGCAAATCTAGTTAAGCCCATTCACCTCTTTAAGGATTGCTTTCGAGGATGGTTGGATACATCTTGATTAAAAGCGTGCGATTGAGAGTATTTTCCGTTTTCTGACATTTGTGAGTTACTGTCCCTTTTCCTGTTTTGGCACTCTATTCGATAATGGGCAGACAGTATTGATGGCAAGTACATCTTCGGCAAGCTCGTATTCGTTAGAAGTCGATTTGTCGATGAATTTTGTAGCATTAGACGAAACGACGGAGGCAATGGGTAATGGCAACCTTGAGAAAGTACCGCGGCTTTGCTCATTCAATAAGGTCTTAATGCCGGAGCTGATGTCACTAATGAGCTTATATATTGGGAGTTGGATGAGGAGAAGTTGTTTTTGTCATTCAAGATCATCTTTTGCTTCGTACTAAAGATCCGAGCATAATATTTCTTAATAATAAAGGAGATGATGGTGGTGGTGTTATCAGTATTTGAAAGTTTAACTCGGAAAAAGAAATGATATTATAGAGTCGTATGTCGTATAGATATCTTTGTGGTAATCTTTCCTTGCCTAAACCAATAATGCAGAGTATCCGATAAGATGTCAAGTTTCTTAGTTGCCTTGTATACAGATATATATATGTAAAAGAGAAAGTGAAATATTATTTTCACTTGAGCTATATACGTCTACATTAAAACTTATCATTACTAATAAAACTCTATATTAAGCAAAATCTAAATTAGATAATAACAAGTCCTGTAAAGAAATAAGCTTTCGCATCAATCTAAGCTGATTTCTCTTTTATAAGATATTGAAAAAGAATATTGCAAGCATCATTAATATCTCTATCAAACTTTATTTTATATTGAGAACAGCAAATTATTTTAAATTCACCTAGCTGTCTATAAATATAATTACAGAATTCACAAGTTTTGCTTGTGTATTCTTTTGTACAAGCTTCTACTTGATATTAGAAATATTTACATATCTTATGGATCAGATATTATTGAAAATAATAATATGATCATATATGTATAGCTTGAATAGTCTTGAAATTAATATATTATTACTTATATTAAATTATTTCTTGAGTATAGTAATATTATATAATAATTTTTACAAAGCTATTTAGTTAGCTTATAATGATAATATTTATAAAATAATAAATTTGCTTTTAAATATGTAATATAATTTATAATTAAAAGTGATATATATATTAAATTATAAATAAATATTAATAAATAAATAAATTAATAAATAAATTTTATTTTTGCTTATTTTTTCATAAATATAATCACATTTATTTTAAAGCTTATTATATATATAACTTAGTCAATAAATTTAATTAATATTATTTTTTTTATTTAATGATTATTTTACTTGAATTATAACTAGTTATAATATATAGTATATATATCTGAATCTAAAGTAATTACATTTAATTCTTCTTATTAAATTCTTAATTTTTTTTATTATATTACTTAAAATATTAATATTATTATATATTAATATAAAATATAAAAAATTAAATAAAGATTTTTTTGTATTTTTAAAAATAAAGAATCTTGATTTTTAATTATATTTTAAGTAATTTAGTAGTTAATAGTTTCCAGAAAACTATTAACTACTTAGATTATACTATAATATACTCAGGTGTATGTCATGATTCAATTTTTAGGCTATGCTCAAAGATGTCATATTTTGCTTTTTACACCACACACCTGAGATATTTATAGTCAATTTATTAGGTATCATATAGATTGTTATTTAAGAACTGCTAAGGCATGTGCTAGTATGACATGCATTTTATATTTTAGATCACACTCAAGTAATGTACATTTTGCTTTTTATGACACACACCAAGGTGACATATTCTATATATTTGATCACATGGAAGAGTCCGATGTGAGAGTCTGATGTGAGAGTTATATCTGAACCTGACACATAGTACTATAGTTAACGTGACTAATTTCATAATGCTGACTACACATGAGCCAGGTGACAAAAAAAATATACCTGATGATGTATTCAGCTATATATCATTATTTGTGGGTCCAATATGAGAACTATATTCAAATCTGGCATGTAATGTCTTAGCTTTCTGACTAATTTCTTTATGTAGGTCAGGTTTAAGGCACCTAGTACTGAAATAATATTCATAATCTTTATATAATTTATCTGAATATTATCCAAGAATAAGACACATAGTGCCAAATATTATCTGTCATATTGCACTCAAGTATTGATCAAGGTTAAGACACGTAGTGCCAAATTATTAGTAGTTATTTGATAGATATCCAAAGCATAATTTTTATAATATATATCTTTCTGTAATAATTTTACTTTGGATATCTATCATCAGTATACTATATTTTATGATCCTGAAAATCTTTCTTGCATAGTTGATACTTTTAAATACTATCACTTCATGTTAAAAATATCTTGACATGCTATTGAATACCAGCTATATTTCACAATTTTTGAATCATTTCTCGTATAGTTGATATCTTTATACTAATAGATATCTAAAGTATAATTTTATTTTATATATATCTGGTAGATATCCAAAGTTATTTTTTTCTTGACAAAAGTAATCTGTGAGACAAATCTGTCCCACACTAGTAGACATCCAAAGTATAATTTTATTTTATATATATCTGATAGACATCCAAAGTATAATTTTATTTTATATATATCTGATAAATATCCAAAGCATAATTTTAGTAGACATCCAAAGTATAATTTTATTTTATATATATCTGATAGATGTCCAAAGCATAATTTTACCTTAATCAAAAATGCGTAATACAAAAATGGTTATCAATTAATTTATCTTATCCCCTATATTGAAAGCACTTATTTAAAACTTTATTTTGATCAAAATTCCACAGCACAAAAACCCTCTTTAATAAGTAACCAGTTATCTAAATCCTATTATTCAAAATCACACAACACAAAAATCTCTTTATATGATCTAGGTATTGGAATATTAATTTTTTATTTGAATTTTTTCTTATATTTATTGTAAAAGGCAATAAAAATCTCTTTATCTAGATATATAACTAGCTAAATGTAGCAATCTCTCGTCTTTAAAAATTATTACTTAACTAGATTATATTATCTTAAACAATAGTTATGCATATTCAATAAAGGCCAAAGAGCAGGTTTTTAATTCTTTTTTGTATAGAGTGATAGGAACCTTCATTTTAGTCTCGAAATTATATTTATATTTCAAGAAATCAGCTTCATTCATGCTTTCTCATTCTTTTTTCCAGTAAATATGATTATCTTACATTTTCAAGACAATCTTAGTTTTCCATTATTCTAATCTTTCTTGGGACATTTAAAATTTTTCTTGTAAATAAAAGATAAGAGTATCAATATCAGATTTGTTTTTGATGAGATATTCTGAAGATAAAGAAATTGCTGGAGGTAGATACAAAGTGGCTAAGGATTCAGGTAATTCTTTCTTGAATTCAACCATATTTAAGTATTGCTCTGAATTATTCAATTGATTTTGAGTTAATACTATAGGAGATGATTGTGGCAAATTTGTTATGGATTTCTCAACTATATTATTACAAGAACTCTCTTTACAAACCTCATTACTGGATAATGCAGAACATTGAAGCTTTGCTTCCTTTAAAATGACAATATCAGTAGTAGTAGGTATTGAATCAAAAAGTTCTTGAGTTTCATTAACTAATTCAGGTTTATATGATAGAAGAATTGGATTTATAGGGTAATAATTAGGAGCATTCAACTTTATAGTCTTTATTCTTTCTATAGTTTCACAACCAGCTTCATTATCTGGCACGTGATGAATCTGATATATTTTTTTTCATATTTGATGTCCCTTGAAACCTACATGAGTTTCTCTACTCTTGATGGTATAACCATATCAATTACTCAGTATTGCATTAATAAATTTTATTGTAGCATTGAGATCAGATATTCCTTTGGCTCAGGTCTTAAAATCAAATAATAATAAAGCATCTTCTTGAATTTTAATGATTTTTTCCAGTGATTATTCAAAAGCTTTTGTCATATCATCACCAGAAAGAATATTTATGTCATCTATATCTCTAAAGCCTATCGATTGGACAAGATTATGTACCGCTTCCTATTGCTTTGCTGAATAGAATTTATGCAAATTAACTGAGGACGGATCTATGGATTCATGTGAATCTTCTTACTGCATTTCTTCTTTGATTTTTAGATTTTCTATAGAATTTATCACATTAAAATCTTGTCTTCTGAAATATGCCAGTCTTCTAAAATATTGTAAGAGTTCAGGATCATTAAATTTTTCTACAAATTTTTTATCACAAAGTTTAATCCAATTATCATTATTCATATTTCAGTTTCGAATATCATCCTTGCCATTAATATTATCTGAAGCGTATATTTTTCACAAATAATGTTATTGCAGAGTCATGTTATCAGCAAAAGAATGTTCAGGATTTAACTTAAGAGTTTCAGCTTCATAAAGGATGATATCAGGTGCATTAACTATTGCTTCTGTATCAGAGCCTTTGATTTTTTCCTCAATCTTCTTAATAGTATTGGAAACTTCTTTTCTAGCAACTTTGGTACCTTCTGCTGAAATTAACTTGAGTGTTGCTTCAGTACTAGTAATAAGATTGCAAAGAATTTCAGGAAAGTATTTAGCTGATAAGCGTCTCTGATATTTAACCTTAATATAAGTCTCTATAGCTGGAGATGAATCAAGTATATAACAGTTATTAATTTTATTCTATTCATGATATCCTTTTATAGCAGTTGGCAAGTTGCCAGGTCTTAAAGCAGAAAGTTCAGTATAAATAAAATCACAATTTGATTCTTTAAAAATACTAGGCTTTTTACTATTATAGAGAGAAATAATATGATATGGGCAATTGTGAACTTGATAAAACATTTATGCAAAAGCTTTGGCATATACTCCTATAGCAATATTACTAATTCCTATAACTGCATCAAAATGATTAGAAATTTCAAAAGAGATACCAGCTTCTATAGTACTTGTATAAACCACATAATCAAGACCACTCCAAGTAGCATTAATATTAGTAAAGTCATCCTGCCATTGCTTTCTGTCCATTTAGCCAAAATAAACTTATAATAAAATATACGAGCTATCTGGTTTTTGCAATTTGAAAGCTTGGTTTGCCAAAGCTCGTGCTTTTTTGCAAGAGATCATTAAAAAAGCAACTCGTTTATCTTCCTGAAGCATCTTAAGATCCCTACGTATAGCTTCTGATCCTTTATCTGAATCATAAAGAATTTTAATAGTTTCATCTTTATGTAGCTTATATTTGTTATCAAAAATTCTTATATCTCCATCTTAATATTATTTCAAAAAGTTTAAAGTTGATTCATTTGCAAATGCATCTATAAAAATAACATGAACAGCTGATTTTATCAGATCTTGCATAGCATTTTCAGATTCACGCACATGAACTCTACTAGATATTTGATATATAATAGCATTATTTTCATCTAAGATAACTACATAAGAACATCTTTCATAGAAATTGAGATGATAAGTATTTTCAACTTGGATAATGATAATATTCCAATCACATATAGCTAAATTGCTCTTATTTTCCTGATAATAGCATACATGAAGTCCTGAATTTTATAATATTTCAACTTTAGCTTTAGTCTCATTACTAAGAGTTTTACAATATGAAATCCAGTTAAAA